TTATTTATTTATTTATTTATTTATTTATTTATTTATTTATTTATTTATTTATTTATTTATTTATTTATTTATTTATTTATTTATTTATTTATTTATTTATTTATTTATTTATTTATTTATTTATTTATTTATTTATTTATTTATTTATTTATTTATTTATTTATTTATTTATTTATTTATTTATTTATTTATTTATTTATTTATTTATTTATTTATTTATTTATTTATTTATTTATTTATTTATTTATTTATTTATTTATTTATTTATTTATTTATTTATTTATTTATTTATTTATTTATTTATTTATTTATTTATTTATTTATTTATTTATTTATTTATAATAAGCTAATGTACAACGAATTAGAGGAAAGAAAACACATTCTAATAAATAACACAACACTAGAAATAGAAGAAGAGTATTTATATTTGGGGCAACTAATACACAGCTCAGGATCTCTACTACCAGAAATCAACAGAAGAGTTATGTTAGCATGGAGTATTTATGGAAGAAACTCAATCATATTCAAATCTAGAATGCCACTTTATCTAAAGAAGAAAACATTCGACCAATGTGTTCTACCAGTCATAACCTATGCATGCGAAACCTGGACACTTAAAACAGACATCATAAGGGAACTGCAGGTCGCACAATGCTCGATGCAAAGAAATCTGCTGGGAATAACCAAGATTGACCGTAAAAGAATAGAGTGGATACGACAAAAGACCCAGGTAGTAGATGTCATTCACAAAATCAAATCGAATGAAATTATAATAATGACGTTGAATGAACCAAACTCAAAAATACAAATGGTCACATGAGCTTTAAGCGCAATACACGAACCTGAGGTACCCTAAAATCAGTAGATATGTTACAGTAGAAGTTGGTAATCAGTGATTGTTAACAATTACTAGTAAAAGCTCACTTTCACTGATTTGCTAAAACTACGTCAGTAAAAGCTCAACAGCTACTTTTGAAACAAACTTTTACTAGTGAATGCTAGTGAAATTACTAGCATTCCCGCTAGTGAATAGCAGTGAGTTTCTCAGATTCAGTTTACGCAGTTGCCACCTGTTGTAAAATATAAGGATAAATAAGGATAAGTAGAATAATTGGCAGTATAAGAAAAACATTAAATTGGGTTAAATATTGGCAACGTTGACAGACATCTAGCATAAATTCGCTTTGTTTTTTGTGGTTATGTATAATTGTTTTGTTATCGTTGTAAAAAGTGCTGTGCAGCTCTCATAATCTCATATAATGACATCGTAGCAAAAGTTAAGCATGCCAGAGAAAAAGTCATTAAGGAATCTAGTTACTATAAACTTATTAAACGTTTTGGTGTATGCTTGAAGTGGCGGGTTTGAAAAAAACTAATAGCTCCCGTTAAAGAAAATTCGGACATTCTTTATTTTGTTCGCGATGAAAAACCTCATGAAAAAAAAACCGTTTATGAATGCTTTTTTTTTAATTGTTTTGTACACTTTAAAAAGTTTATTATGTTTTTTTAGTATTTAGAAGGTTATATGTCGTTATTTTATATAATTTTAGATATACTAAAGAAGTATATTGTAATTTTACGATATGTGGATCAGTTTGAATATTGAGGTGATTCAATATTCTTAAAAGTTTTATTTGTTCTTCCACCAACGCTCTTCCTCACCACATTTACCCTGTACAATAGAATAACTTTTACAGTATGGGTAACCTTTAGTAAATGTTATTTTCACTAGTGAATGTTAGAAATTACTGGTAGAAGTCGATAAATTTCTTTAAAATACGACATTCACTGGTCCAATGCGTAATTTTTAGCATTTTCTAGTGAATGATAACAATCACTGAATTTCCGACTTTCACTGTTAAGGGGCGTCCAGACCGAATGAGCGAGCAAGAACGAGCAAGAATTCGGGTATGTTCTATGGGAACGCTTAACTGGTGTGGATGGCTCTGCGAGCGAGCGAATGATTGTTTGCTCGCGCTCGACGCTGTTCCACGCCGTGTCGGTACATCAAAGAAAATTCGCGCTATTGCACGTTCGGTTTGGATAGGATTTTGTTTGCCACGTTTGCGATCGAATATTAAAAATGGAATGGCCGAATGAAGTTGTTTTAGAACTAATAGAGGAGTACAAAAATTGTCAAGACCCGTAAGGTTATAGCTAGCCTTTCCCTAGGTGAAATTGCTTTTCGGTAATTGGTATCGCTTTTCATTATTTTTATGTCAATTAAATCTAATAAGTATTAAAATATGTATGTGACATCCGACAAAAGTTCTTAAATTTTCCAGAATCTTCTGTTTCAACCTCGTTTGGTAAATTGTTACCACAATGAGAAACTCGATTTTTAAAAAGAGTTATGTTCCACCATCTCCTCTGCAGTCGTTTTCTCTTTTGACGTTTCAACAATTTATAAAATACAATGAAAGACGCACAAGCAATAATTTTTTCCGACATTGTGAATATGAAGTGCCACACACCGATCAACGCCGAACATACAAATAATCGCTAGGTCTGGACGGAAGCTGATCATGTGCTCGAGAGCAGCAGAAATCACGAGCGAATTTGAATAAATGTTCGCTCGCGCTCGTTACTGCTCACTCATCTGGTCTGGACGCCCCTTTACAGATACATAAATACACACATGGCCAAAATTATTGCATATATCGTTAAAAAATACACGGAAAGGAATTTAAAGAATATATTTTTACACATAGCTTTGATAATCTGTAATAAACATTTTTTTTGTTAAAATGGATATGGTAAACAATGTTTATCGTTCAGACCCAATATTATTACAAACTCTTGCACATTTCGATTTATGGTCTCTTGGGTTTCAGAAGAAATTTGACCATTGTTTTGGCCTTAAAATGCCCAGAAACATTATTTCACAGTTTAATAGAGTCAGAATAGTAACACTGTCTCAACAGGGCTACCGGCAAGTTGCAATAGCTGAAATTGTAGAAGTTAACCAAAGCGATGTTTCGCGAATATTAAAAAATTCAGGGAGACAAACGAGGTTACAGACTCGCCTGGAACAAGAGAGTTACTACTGCTGTGCAAGACCTTCAAATATCCCTAATTGCACGACGCAATTCCCTGCTTTCTAGTACTGCTATAAAAAATGAGTTAGCTCTCCTTGAAGGAGTAAATGTTTCAAGAAAGACCATAGCAAGAAGCCTCCATGACAAAGGATTACATTTAAAGAGGCCTCTACGTGTTCCGAAGCTTAATTAACAGCACAAAATTACGTGACTACAATGGGCTGAGGAGATGAGAGCAAATGGACCTAATTGGAATTTCGTCATGTTTAGTGATTAAATATTCTTGTTTAATTACCTAGTGTCAGACTCGCGACGAACTTTGGTCTGGAGAGCATCTGGAGGATGAGCACGCTTGAATGCAGCTCAACCCCGTGTCCCGTTTTAAGGGGGAAGCATTATGGTATGGGCAGGTATAATGCACGGAGCTCGAACTCCTCTTGTTTTTATTGACGGCACAATGACAGGTGCCTCATATCTTAGAGACGTTTTAGAGCCAATTGTGCGTCCATTTCGAGGGACAGTGGGGGATGAATTTGTTTACATGGACAATAATGCTCCTCCCCATACCACTTTAGCGGTTCGCGAATTTTCTGAGAAAGAGGGTATAAGAAAACTGTGGTGGCCACCGATGTCTCCAGATATGAATGTGATCGAGCATGCTTGGGACATGCTAAAAGGCCATATTGCCAAAAGGAATGATCTCCCCGTACCTTAAATGAATTGAAAATTGGTGCGCACGAAACATGGGAAGGCATTCCTGAACATCTTCTGGACAACTTAATTGGGAGCATGCCACGCCGTCTCACAGTTTGCATTGAGGCTCGAGGAGGCAATACAGACTATTAGTTATGAGAAATAATTAAAATTGTTTTCAATATTTTCAGTTTAAAATGAAATTGGTTTTTGTTGATTTTCACTCATTATGAAATAAAGTTATAACAGCCTAGTTCCACTTAGATTTTTAATTTTATATTAGTTAGTCGTGTAGTAAGCCAATATGTCCAAAAATATAAAAAGAATCATATTAGGTTCAAAATAAAATAAAAATATCGTTATATTCAATAATTTTGGCCATGTGTCTATCTTCTAATAAAAACGATTTTAATTTTGATAAAATTAAATATAATTACTAAATCATTGAAATATAATATAATACATGTTCGGTATATTTATTTTTTATCGCTGTAATTCTGACCATCAACCGTAAAAATTTTGCCGCTATATTGCAAAATATTCTAATGAGAATATTGTTCAAAACGCGGAACAATAAGTTAATTAAACTTATTGGGTAAAATGTTATCTGAATTTATTAAGCCCGCATACGCCACGTATTACAGGATTCATTTTTGCTTTTTTCTAAATAATATCGCGGGTTCTAATCTGTAATAAACATTTTTTTGTTAAATGGATATGGTAAAACAATGTTTATCGTTCAGACCCAATATTATTACAAACTCTTGCACATTTCGATTTATGGTCTCTTTGGTTTCAGAAGAAATTTGACCATTGTTTTGGCCTTAAAATGCCCAGAAACATTATTTCACAGTTTAATAGAGTCAGAATAGTAACACTGTCTCAACAGGGCTACCGGCAAGATGCAATAGCTGAAATTGTAGGAGTTAACCAAAGCGGTGTTTCAAGACAAACGAGGTTACAGACTGGCCTGGAACAAGAGAGTTACTACTGCTGTGCAAGACCGTCAAATATCCCTAACTGCACGACGCAATCCCCTGCTTTCTAGTACTGCTATTAACAATGAGTTAGCTCGCCTTGAAGGAGTAAATGTTTCAAGAAAGACCATAGCAAGAAGACTCCATGACAAAGGATTACATTTAAAGAGGCCTCTACGTGTTCCGAAGCTTAATTTACAGCACAAAATTACGCGACTGCAATGGGCTGAGGAGATGAGAGCAAATGGACCTAATTGGAATTTCGTCATGTTTAGTGATGAAACAAGAATAGACCTAGTGTCAGACTCGCGACGAACTTTGGTCTGGAGAGCATTTTGAAGACGAGCACGCTTGAATGCGGCTCAACCCCGTGTCCTGTTTTAAGGGGGAAGCATTATGGTATGGGCAGGTATAATGCACGGAGCTCGAACTCCTCTTGTTTTTATTGACGGCACAATGACAGGTGCCTCATATCTTAGAGACGTTTTAGAGCCTATTGTGCGTCCATTTCTAGGGGCAGTGGGGGATGAATTTGTTTACATAGACGATAATGCTCCTCCCCATCGCACTTTAGCGGTTCACGAATTTTGTGAGGAAGAGGGTATAAGGAAAACTGTGGTGGCCACCGATGTCTCCAGATATGAATGTGATCGAGCACGCTTGGAACATGCTAAAACGCCATATTGGCAAAAGGAATGATCCCCCCGTACCTTAAATGAATTGAAAATTGCGGCGCGCGAAACATGGGAAGCCATTCCTCAACATCTTCTGTACAATTTCATTGAGAGCATGCCACGTCGTCTCACAGCTTGCATTGAAGCTCGAGGAGGCAATACAGACTATTAGTTATGAGAAATAATTAAAATTGTTTTCAATATTTTCTGTTTAAAATGAAATTTGTTTTTGTTGATTTTCACTCATTACGAAATAAAATTATAACAGCCTAGTTCCACTTAGATTTTTAATTTTATATTAGTTAGTCGTGTAGTAAGCCAATATGTCCAAAAATATAAAAAGAGTCATATTAGGTTCAAAATAAAATAAAAATATCGTTATATTCAATAATTTTGGCCATGTGTGTATCTTCTAATAAAAACGATTTTAATTTTGATAAAATTAAATATAATTACTAAATCATTGAAATATAATATAATACATGTTCGGTATATTTATTTTTTATCGCTGTAATTCTGTAATTCTACTATCAACCGTAAAAATTTTGCCGCTATATTGCAAAATATTCTAATGAGAATATTGTTCAAAACGCGGAACAATAAGTTAATTAAACTTATTGGGTAAAATGTTATCTGAATTTATTAAGCCCGCATACGCCACGTATTACAGGATTCATTTTTGCTTTTTTCTAAATAATATCGCGGGTTCCGATTTGATGTTATTTTATGCATAAATATACGGAATATTAATTATCATTATTTGTTTAATAATTCCCCCCTTTCAATTCGATTATTATATTTTAAGCTGCATGCAAAAGTTTATTTAAAAATTATTATTCAACAACTGCCTGACCTGTATTATATTTCTATTATTGCGATAGAAAATGAGTAATATTATTTTGACCTATTTTACAATAAAATTGTGTTTATATTACCAAAAAATTGGATTCCAGTATCAACAAAAAAATGTTATTAAATGTTAATTCAGAAATTTTGTATGAATTAAGGTTTCCTGAGAAAAAAATTCTTTGTGCACTATATTGATATACAGGGTGCTACAAATTCGAGGTACGAGCATTGGTATCTCGGAAACCGTCATAGATACGAACATGGTTAAATTGGGACAAAGTTGCTCCTTGGGACTGTTCACCAAGATGCCACTAAAAAGTTTTAAAAATTTCAAGGATTGCTGAGTTGTTCGGCCAAATTTTGTTTTGATCAATTCTATTTTTCCTGTGGTTACTTTACAGAAAATCAAAAAGCTAATTGCACATTCTCATAGCCACTTTATTAGGGCTATCTGACAGTATTTTTAGATTTTCAAATTAGCTGATAATTTATGAAATACAGAGGCCAACTTATTTTTTTTAAATACGGACCTGCATTTTTTATTTCAAGTTTTAAAAGAACTCGGTCTAATAATTACAATTATAAGCCACACTTGATACTTTTTTTGTTTGAATTTAAAATAATTTGAAGTCCGACTCTGGTATTTTTTAAATTATTTAATTTGATTATATTCATTGCAACAATATTGATCAGCGCTAATTAACATTAAATAAGGAAAATCGAGCCAATTGAAAGATTTAAATAAATAATATCCAGGTCAGCAATTTAAGGATATTATTTTTAATTTTTTTTATGAATTTGAATAATTTAATTATAGTTATTATACAATCAACTTCTACAAACTAGTTTCTAATGCTCTACATGTTCGAAAGGGTTACCACCCTCCCTAACGCACAAATTTATTTTTCGTTCAATCTTATTTATAACTCTTTGAACATATATTCTTCTTCTTCCTTGCATTTTGTATTCTTTATTGTAAATGTTGAAATGTATTCATTTCACTTCTACAAATGACATAAAGTAATACCCCCTCCCCTTGGCTTGGATTTCCTACCCATCTTCCGGGAAAATGATTTGATTGTTTATATTATAATATATTTAATTATTTATTTTATATTATTTTTTATTATTTTATTGCATTTGATTTTCCGTATTCAATGCTTTACCCCACATCATTGTTAAGTTTGAAAGTTTATCATTATTGTAACGATGCATAGATTAAATATTTAAAAAAAAAACAGAGCCAGAATTTAAATAAATTGTGTTCAAATGTCCGTTAGTCAAAAGTTACATTATTTAGTAGAACTATGCAAAATTATTAGATTTTTAAGTCTCTTATTAAGGATGATGCAATAAAAGCATATTATTTTTTGTAAATTTACATACATTTGTTTTAATATAGACAAAACGTTCGGTTTGTTTTAAAATTGAATGATCTTTACGTTATTCTACACAGTCTTCCGTCTTAATTCAGTTCAAGTAAATTATATACAGGGTTGTTCACCACATACGACACGGAGTATTGTAGCTAAACGATTATATTTTTACAAATTTCAAGTTTTGGGTTCGATGAAGGACTATTAGAGGTGCAATTTAAAAATAATTTACAAGATGCAAAGTGTCCCAAATAAGTAAAAAATATCAAAGTTGTATTTTTTTAAATGGAACACCCTGTATATTATTCCTTTTTTAGTTTCTACGATTAAAATAAAGGTAAATTTGATTAAGGTTTATTACACTTAAACCTTACCGTTTTTGAAATATTTTCAATTTTGTGAAATTGCAGTAAAAATTTTAAGGCTTCATTTCTCCAAGGGTATCAAAGTTTTTAATACTAAATATTTACTGAAGTTTATTTATTGATCAGTTATTGTGTTGCAATAATAAAAATAATACTACCTTATACAGAGTGTCTAAAAATTTATTTTAAATAATTATTAGCTTCAAACGGCAATAACTTGTTTAATTTAAATGGAACGCCCTGTATATTTTAGGAGAATCAGATGCACAATTTAATTGTCTATCAAATTGTATTATACCATTTTTACCTATCCCTTCAAGTTTTCGTAGAAAATGCATTTTCTTATAATTTAGACCTCATTCATCAATATACCCATGGAATATTGACATTTTATTATTGACACCCATGGAATATTGACATCATATATTGACATTCTAGTAATATTATCGTTTTGCTAAAAACAATAATGTTGTATGCAAAAAGAAAACTATTTAAATCTTTATAAAAGAGTATACCATTAATTAAATATAGCACCATTATTTCCGCCCATATACTAATTAATTACATACTTAATTGTATTCTTTAATAAATTATTCTAAATAAATGTGGATTTGACTCAGAAATCAATATAATAATAAGTTATCAAAATTTAAGTCTCTATTGTTATAAACAAGCATTTATTAAAAAATGAAATATCATTTTTAAGGTCTTACTTTTTATCACACTGTCTAATACCCATACAAAATTCAGTTGTTTTAGTATTTGGTACAATTATTATTAATCAATGCAGTCAGTTAATGTAGTTTGAATACTGGAATCATATTAATTGGTCCTCTTTAACAAATACTTAAACAGTTTTTTTTTTAATGAAATAAACGAATTATATCCACAATATTAGTATCTGTACTCTTTAAAAATTTGTTACATCTTTAAAAATAATCTAAAATGTCAATATTCCATGGGTATATTGATAAATAAATTCTAAATTACAAGAAAATGCATTTTCTACGGAAACTTAAAGAGATAGGTAAAAAATGGTATAATATAATTTGATAGACAATTAAATTGTGCATCTGATTCTCGTAAAATATACAGGGTGTTCCATTTAAATTAAACAAGTTATTGCTAATTTTGTTTGTTTTATTGCTAGTTTGAAGCTAATAATTATTTAAAATAAATTTTTAGACACCCTGTATAAAGTAGTATTATTTTTATTATTGCAACACAATAACTGATCAATAAATAAACTTCAGTAAATATTTAGTATTAAAAACTTTGGTACCCTTGGAGGAATGTTTACTGCAATTTCACAAAATTGAAAATATTTCAAAAACGGTAAGGTTTAAGTATAATAAACCTTAATCAAATTTACCTTTATTTTAATCGTTGAAACTAAAAATGCAATAATATACAGGGTGTTCCATTTAAAAAAATACAACTTTGATATTTTTTACTTATTTGGGACACTCTGTATCTTGTTATTATTTTTTGTAAATTTACATACATTTGTTTTAATATAGACAAAACGTTACAATTTGTTTTTAAAATTCTCATCGTTTAGCGGTATTCTACACAGTCTTCCGTCTTAATTCGGTTCAAGTAAATTATATATAGTTTTTTTCGTCCACACACAAGATTTTATTTTATACGATTTTAATGAACAGGCAAAACGTATAGTAAAAAAGAGTTTGTATAGACTGGGCCTATGATTTATCCATTTTTATTATTTGTTTCAGCTCAAAGCCCGTCAGATTTTTTTTTAAATATTTTGTTTGCTATTGCTTTAACAGAATACATTATTATTTTATTAACCAACATTGTAAATTGTTTTGTTTGTTTGTTATTTTTTATTTATTTTATTTTATTTTAGGGTCTATACAAGCCTCTATCTGATATTTACTAATATTTTGTAAGTATTTATATGTAATGTAAAATATAACCATCATCAATAATTGCAATGGCTTTATCCACATAACTAACACATCAAACACTAAAAAGCATACATTGATTGAAAACTATTATTTATATCATATGA